TGGCTGTTTCACCTACTGCGGCTGTCGCAATGCATGAACCTGGTATCGATCCGCATATCTTCATCTTGCCTCGCTGAAAGACACTTGTGTCATCATTCTGATAGATTACATGGGTGATATTCAGTTGAAGAAAAAAATACTGGCTGAAGGGGTCAGGTTTAACTAGAAGCCTGGTAGTTTTTTCCTTGACATAGAATTTCGACGTCTTGGATTCTGGATTGGATGGCCGTGATTGTGCAGTTGGCAAAACTGAACAAACAGCAGTCATGAAGAACTTGTTGTGAGAAAGCGTTTTAACAGTAAAATTTCAACAGTGACCTCTAACGCAACTTGAAGTGATATAATATGACGTACAAACTATACTTACACACTTCCAGGATGTTCTGTTCTGTGCAAGCTATTCCAAATAGAAATTGAAACTTCGCCTTGAATTTACGGTATTGGCTGCCGTTGGTCGACCGCATAAGTAGCAATGTCCAAACACCTGTGCAGCTTGTGCGCAACGGTAATCGTCAAACCGGATTATTGGATGTAGATATCAAATTTGCATTACCACAAATCTAACTTGAAAATTTGTGCGTTTGCTTATTTGAGCAAAGTTTTCAGCTCATGAATAAAATATATTTTGTTAAAATCTCGATGAATACGCCCACCCGATTAGCCCCAAGAATTGCCAAACGGGTGGTTAGCTGCCGAGGCGTTATCATTAGCTTTGTAGGTGGTGCCCATTGGTGCTTTCTAATTAAATGAGTCTGTCCTAAACAGAAGATAACGTTGTTGCAAGCAGTAATTGAAGTTTTGTTGCCGCACTCTTATATTCCTTCAAATAAAGAAGTTAATTGTGATTCTAGCCCAATCGATGGGACCGTACTAGCGTGTTTGAAAACTAATGTCGTATGTCTTTAGAATTTGCGTTGACCTTTGACTCTCATTCACACTGCTTATGTGTCGCTGGTTGTCAAGTCGTATTTTGACCAAACCTTTCGATCTGTTCAGTCACTACCAAGAATTCATCCACTCTATCACATCAACTTTACGGAGTTTGCCTTACCTTGAATGCCGTGGAATAATGTTTAGTTTATTTACTGCTAGTTACACTTTAATCACAAAGTGTCTTTGAGTGTATCATTTATTTCTGAACAATTTTTTTCTAGGCTAATAATTCACCACCAATGTTCCCGAAGTGGTTTCTGGGCTTGAAATTAAAAGTGCTGTGTGGCACTTATGGAATATTTGGCTCTTATTGCAGTTTTTTAGATTAGACCACTGCTTAAGAAAAAAGAAACATCCTGAATTGACGGAATACACTACTTGTAAGGCTGCTGAGAATTCTTAGGCAGCTTACGACCATTTTGGCCCTTCATGGGCTCATCTGTTGGGTTCAGTCCTCGACTCTCCATCAGTCGTATATTCTACTTGAACCCAAATTGAAGAGATTTCGATAAATACACTCATCTGCATGCCATATTGGTTTAGACGGAAGACTGCCTTGGAACACAGCTGAATCTCGCGTTTATGGGGCAGCCGACTGCAGCAAATCCATTTACTTAAAAACATAACTGTTTCACTTACGTTTTTCTGTTCAGCCCGTCAGTCATTTTTAAATCATGTTTAAATAACTTCCCAAATCAATGAAACACGTTCGAATTCAGTATAAAAATGAATCCTGACACAGCGTTCGCAAATTTTACCCAGCACTTGTAAATCCATGGTAATGTGTGAGGATTTGGTATTATTTATTAGAGGTTTCGTCATGTCAGTGAAGTCAATCTATGCTGAAAAGTTGTGACCCCCATACAACTGTTCCGGCTTCGTTGGGAATCATCAGCATTTCGCATGTCACGAAAGCCAGAGAGATTCAAACCCGCGAACTTTTGGCCAGGTTTTGGAACACTGGACTGTGGCTTCGACTGGCTGATTAGCTGTATGATTAGCCCTCACTTAGACACGACTTAGGACATCCCATTCCCCAATAAAGCCTTGCTGTCTTTAACAGCGTGTGAAGTTATTTCATCGTCGATTATTAGGTCAGTTCGCTGCCAAGCCGGTTGGAATCGATACTGCACGCAACCTCACAATCATTTGGCGGAATACCTGGTGCTCCAATTTAAATTCTCAGTAAAGTGGAATAAATGTCAACGTTGGATAAATAATTATTCTCACGACAGACGCCGCTAAATCGGAGGTTGCATTTGGTTCTTCAATTTTGTCCTGTCCCA